CTGCAACGTGGTAACTGTAAAAGGATCGCAACAGCCAGTGCAACTGTAGCGATGCCTGGAAAACATTTAATAAGGGAATGTACCCCTCAAAGTACATGGCTACCTAGGAAATCTATAGAAACCTCTTGTTGTGCTATCTTTATGATCTTGTTTCATTTCAACTTGTTATAAACAAGGTCATTCAGACTTGTGTTGTTTAACTCTACTTGGCTAGCATTATCCTATCCGCCTCGATTCCTTGGTTACATCAACACCCCCTATATTCCTTTGCTGCTTTCCCCTACCCTCTGTCTTGCGTTCCCACACCTTCTACCAAGCTTCTCCCCACCTTATAATCTGCTTTCCCCCATCCTCTGCCTTGTGTCCCACCACCCTCTGCTCTGCGTTTCCCCAACCTCTGCCGTGCTCTCCTCCACCTATCTGCCTCCGTGCCATCTCCCTTCCCACCCTTCCACTTGCGGAGATAACTACTACAACGGGAGCTAGACTACGGGCTAGGCACGGGTGCTCGTGTGATCTCTGCGTTCGTTAGTCCTTAGTCGTTTTCCTAGTGCACACACTGCTTGGTAGTTCACGGGGCAAGTTGGCAAGAGTTTCACTAGAGAAATTTGACAACAATGGTACAATGAAGTTGGCATGGCTAGACTACATCAGAGCTAGCATTCAGGTCGGTCGACTGCCAGCACAGCATGGTCGACCGCGTTCCAGCACGACTTGGTCGACCGCGCTCCAGCAGTGCAAAGTCGACGGCGTGCCAACGTTGCAGGTTGACGGCGTGCCAGCGTTGCTCCCGCAGAACAGCATCGCACCAGCTTCGCAGGTGCTCGCAGATGATTGGCGTGCAGAGCCTTGTCACATGCACAGCGCACACACCAAGTCAACCTGGCGCTGACGACTGCATCTGATCAGCCACGTCGACCTCGGGATACCACCACCGAGGTCGGACTCGCCAACTTCGCCTGGGCGACCGTCGCACTCCTCCGCAGAACCTCGTCACCCAGGTAACCTGGTCGACCGGGCAACCACATCGACCAGCTGCTCCTGTATGTGCCCGTCGACCTACCAAGTCGACGACCACCCCAAGTCGACCTCACCAGGTCGACCACTCCCCTGGTCGACCAGCTCCAGGTCGACGTCACTCCTGGTCGACCAGCTCCACGTCGACCAGCACTCCTGGTCGACCAGCTCCATGTCGACCAGCACAGTTGTCAGCCGACCGCCCAAGTCGGCTACCCGAAGTGGGCGTCACCAAGTTGACGCCCTGCTACTCGACGCCCAGCTGCTCGGCGTCCTGAATCGAGGTCGACGTCGGCCCCTCCTTCGTCGACCACCCTTTTAGGTCGACCACCAGGTCGACATCACGCTTGGTCGATCATCCACGAAGTCGACCAGCAGGCCTGGTCGACCAACTACCAAGTCGACCAGCAGTCCTGTCAGCCGACCACCCAAGTCGGCTGCCCCAAGTTGGCGTCACCAAGTCGACGCCCTCCGCAGGTCGACTTCCCAGGTCGACCTCCCTGAAGTCGGCGCCAGTGCAGTGGCCCCCGTGCAGGTCGACCTACTCGTCAACCAGCTCGCCCACTGCTGCAAGTCGGCTGCTCCCCTCACACCCGACCACGTAGTCGGCTCCGCCCAAGCGAGGACGGGGCCAACACACAACTCCCGTTGACACCACTCTCCTTCCGTCCCTCAGAGTATGATGGGTTTGAAACATTTGAAAATGCTGACTTTTCTATATGTCAACATGTTTTGATATCAATATGCGTTTATTTTGTATAATCTACATTTTATTAGCTTGCACAAAGGAATGCAGAGAGAAGTTTGTGTGGGGTGGTTAAAAGGAGGGCAACAAGGGCATACAAGAACACCCACGACAACATGAAACATCACCTGGTGCTTCTGGAACTTGGCATTGAGGTCGTTGAGCACGGCAAGGATGTGTGCAAGAAAATAGAGCATGAAATGGAATTTGAAAGAGGTCACGACTTCATAGAGCTCGTGCTTGAAATCGCGCAGAACCTTGGCAAACCGATTCACTGCCTCCCCTCTGGAAAGCCATCGCACGGCGTGGATCCCCTGCAGCTCCAGGTAGGTGTCGCAGATGTACTTCTAAAGGTGCTGAAAACGCTGGTGCCAGACGCTTCTTCTTGACAGTTGTTCCGCCACGTTCCGCACCGCCTGGTCAACGATGTTGAACTCCGGCACCTTCAGTGCGGCATCACGTGCAGCCAACGCCTCCCTGCTCAAACACAAAACACAAATAGGAGCAACATGTAGTTAGTGGGCAGTACATGAACCAACAGGCCACACCTAGCTAATAAACAATAACACAGACGCACTTACCGATGTGCAATACAGTGGCACGACACGAGATCGGGATTCCGCGCCCAGAGTCATGCAACAACGCCATTGCTGGTGCCCGTCATGACTCTGGCGCCGTCGGTGCTAATTCCGACAATCTTTGACAGGTCGATGCCGACAGCATCAAGGTGGGTCAGCAGAACGTCGATGAGGCTTGCTGCATCACATTTCTCCACCGTCAGGAGTGTGAGAAACTCACAGACAACGGCACCGTTCTTCATGTAGCTCACATACACGATCAGGTGCTTTCCGTGCACCCGATCGGTACTCTCATCGAGTTGTATGCCGATGTTTGGGCTGGCTTTGATTTTCTTCAATTGCTCCTGACACTGTACTTCGCGGCAGCCTTAAGCAAATCCCCAAACTGTACCTGCAAGAGACAGTAAGAGATGTTAGCATTATGTAAGTTAATAAGCGGTAAAGAAACAAGTACAAGGACTGCACGGAAAGGCCAAACACACTCTGAAAAGTAGCATCCCTTGGAATCCAAGGGAAGGTTTGGGACGCCCAGTTCGGCCATGAATTTGATGAAGCCCACGTAGGAGGTGATCGGCGCCTCCGACTTGCAGGTGTAAACGGCAGTTTCGAGTGCGGTGATGATGTGAAGCGTGCCGCGATCCAGCCCTTCAAACTCACTCAGCAACGACTGACGTAGTTTCCGACTCTCCTTCGACTTCTTCACGACGTGTGCATCCTGGAGTGCAGTGGAGCGCTGGTGCGTCCGGATGCTCCCCTTCTGCATGTCACGCCCTCCACTGCCACCCTTGCCATACGCCGAATTCGCACCTTCCACTCCATGCTCTGAGCACATGCTGCATTTCAGAATGGGGAAGCCAACATCATCACGAGTTAAAATGAGCCACGGAAAGAGAGATTCCCATGACGTCTTAAACCGCTTATGCGCTTTAGCGAAAGCAATTTCCGGGAAACGGGCCATCACATCAACAGTCGGCAAGCCATCTTCCTCCTCCTCGTCATCACTGACTTCGTCGTCCACTATCGCAGTTGCTCGTGCCCCCAGGAGAAAGTTAGCTTAGGTCGCCGCCACTTCTGCCTTGCAGAACCGGTGGAGTCTTTCCGCTTCTTGGCCGCAGAGTCACCAGCAGCAGCGCCAATCTCCATTACCGGTGCTGTAGCTTCTGGAGGTGTAGGTTCGGGCGTTGTTGTGCACTCTCCAGGTGAGCACAGGTCACGCCCCGCTTCATCCAGCGCGGTCTCAGCCTGGGTAGATGCGACGACGGGCTCAGGTTCTAGTAGCTTCTTAGTGGGTCCTCGTAAAAAGCTAAGACCCGTTCGCGGGGGGAGTGCTGAACCTGACGACGTGCCTCGTCGTCATTATCACCGTTGGCGTCAACAGCCATGGCGAGGCACAGAGAGGTTGATGCAGGAGTTGCGCCTACGCAGCAGGAAAGCGTGGTGTGGTGTGCAAACCCTAGACGAGAACACGAGGAGGGAGCATGGAGTGATGAAACGAGGGGTTGGGTGAGTGCAGCTAATCGGTGGGTGGGGGTCTGGTTGGGAGGGAGGAAGGGACCCAGCAGGACTCTCCTGCACGATGCACACCTCTGTGGCGCTGCGCGTCATCGCCAGGCAGGCAAAATGCAGGTGAGCCATGTACAGTTGGCGGGACTGTGGCAGTGGCGACGCGAGCCGTCTTGGCGACGCGCAACTCTGGTGACTCAGGCAAAATGCCGTTAATCTCGGCACAAATCACGTCGATACCCCCCTTCCCCCCCCTCTCGAAATCGCATCGGGGTGGTCCCCGACTGAACTCTTTGTCATCAGGGCGAGTACACCAGGCCTGTCTGAAATATGTGTTCCAAAAAAAAAATATCTTTTTCTTTTAAGGGCGCCCCATAAAATGACTCTGTCAAAAAAGGGTGACATCTTTGTCGTTGCTTGAACAAGAAGATGGATAGCTAGTACAATGATTGATTGCTAATACTGTATTCTCCCGGATAAAACACCCTAGGGTATTATGAAAACCACTGGAAAAAAATGGGGGGGGTCTCCTCAAAGGAAAATCCTACATAATACCCGTGTCTTATTATATGGTATATTTTTTATAAAGCAGAAAAGATGTGAAACAAAATCAGGGGTCTGACTTCACTTCAAGATTGTTGATCAATGCCGCAAAACCGAGTACGAGGATATTGTGGGCCACTTGGGCCACTTCACCTCTTGGACCACTTGCAGTGGAAGATTCGCCAGCGTGGCGACAGCGAGATTGTGGGAGGGGGGATATCTCGGCTGATTCTAAGTGAAAGTACATGCGAAATTTCTTCTAGGGAGCGATTCTCGCGATATCCTCCCGTAAGGAATCGGACTCGATAACAGCTATAATAGGAATCTATAAGACAAGGGGGGTGTTATAGAGAATCACCCCAAAAGGGGGGGTATAGTACTAACGGGGTCGGATATAACACCCACCCCGTATAAGCTACCCGGGGGTGTACAATTACGGGGGGGTGTTTTATCCGGGAGAATACGGTACAATTATGGATAGCTACAAGTTATGATAGCTAGTACACGTACTAGCACTTATATTTTCCAACTCGATCTGCATGTTGTAAATAGCCAGTTGAAATAAAAACGATGCCGATGACGGTAGTAAATCTAGGGTATGCTGCGATTGTGTATCACATACTTTTATTGTCCAATCTTCGTCTCTTCCAGTCCCTCTCTCGTCCGTTCTCAGCGTGCCCCTCAAACCCAGGAGGCAATGCCTCCCCTTCGTGCGGCCCTTCCGCACCTTCATGTGAGTTTGCCTGCTGGCTGCCAGCATACCTCTGCCCATTGTAAAGGGAATGGCCACCCCGGTAACCATGCCCATGCCCATGCCCATGCCCATGCCCATGGCCCTGCCGGTGCCCACCTCTGCGCGTGCCATCATGGCGATTTGGCCATGCACTCCTCTCCTCCCCCACCTCCTCACCCCTCCGCCCATTTGGCAGCCCCTGAACCCCACTACCCCCCGTGCCCCCCTCCCACCTGTCACCCGCCGCGCCGCTGCTGCCACCAGCAGCCCCTCCGCCCTCCTCCCCTCTCCTGCCTCCAGAGCCAAAATTATTTCGAGAAGGAGCGAAGCGGCGAGGAGAATGGCGGTGGGGGGGGTGTCGTCGGGGAGGGGAGGAACGGTGGGGGCCTGTGGAGGCGAGGGAGGGGAGGAGGGTGGGGGCGAAGGAGTCGGAGGAGAGGAAGCATCCGCGCTGCTTCGCATCGTCAATCAACGCTGCCCATGCTGGCGAGCGCTGCAGCGATGCCGCGTTGCCAAGAATCTGCATGGCGCAGTGGGCACGGGGCAGGGCAGGGAGTGCTGGGGAGGGTAAGAGGCAGAAGCAGGCAGAGCAGGCGCACACTTGACTGTGACACGCGTTCCATGCTCCTACTGGCTTGTTGTAGGCACAGGCGTGCACCAGCCAATGTTCCCCTCCATGAGACACAAGGTAGCACGAGGCGGGGAGAGGGTGGGGTGTGAATGCAGAGAGGAGATGCTCAGGCAGAGGTGGGCTCATTGAGAGGTGGGCTGACCCAGAGGGAGCGCTTGGCGCGCGTGATGGCGACGTTCATGCGGCGCACGTCGGCCACGAAGCCCAGTCCGCGCGTGGAGGCGCGCACGCAGGAGAGGATGATGGCGTCGCGCTCCTGCCCCTGGAAGGCGTCCACCGTGTTCACGTACAGCGCCGCCCCGCCCGCTGCCACCGCTGCTACCGAGGGGCGTGGGGGCGCGGCAGCAGCAGGGGCAGGGGTTGGTGGTGCGGTGAGGAGCCCGGGATGCCACTCGTGGCTCGCAGCAGGGACTGCTGGTGCTGCCTGCCCCTGCTGCTGCTGCTGCTGCTGCTGCTGCTGCTGCTCGTGCTGCTGCACTTGGATGGCAGCAGCATTCCCTGCCGCTTGCTCCGCAGCAACGGCAGGCGGTGCAGGCAGGGGCAGTGGGGGCGGGGGGGCGGAGCGGGCGAGCTGGTCGAAGGAGCGGCGCAGCAGCTTGAGCTGCTGGCGGTAGGGCGTCACCACCCCCACCGGCACCGGCCCTGTGGCGCCCGCTGCTGCACTCACCTCCTGCAGCCGCTGCCAGGGGGGCAGCCGGGCGGCAGTAACGAAAGCACATGGGGAAAGGGGGCGGATGGTAAACAGAGTGGGTGGGTGGGAGGGAGTGAGGCGCAATCAAACAATGACGTGAATGGAACTGCGTCTGAAATTCGTATATATGCAGGGCAGGGCAGACGTATGGAACCTGAAAGGAACCGTGGGCGCACCTGGAAGAGAGCGACAGCAAGTGCGGCCTCGGTGGTGTTCTGGTACGACACCGACCGCTCGCCGTGCGACTCGCGCCCCGCGCTGACGTCAAAGAAGAGCAGCGGGCGCAGCAGCGCGTCGGCGTGGTACGGCTCGTCGGGCAGAGCGGTGATGGCGGGTGCATCGGTGAGGCGGTCGCTGTAGAAGTAGCGGCTGGGGAAGGCGCGGATGGCCGGGTGCATGCGGTACTGCTCTGTTAGCAGCAGCGTTGGACAGCCTGCTCGCTGGAATCGCTCCAGCAGTGAGCGACTGGGGGGGGGTAGGCATGGGTAGGCATGGGTAGGCATGAATAGGCATGGGTAGGCATGGGTAGGCACGGGTAGGCATGGGTAGGCATGGGTAGGCATGGGTAGGCACGGTTAGGCATGGTTAGGCATGGGTAGGCATGGGTAGGTATGAATAGGCATGGGTAGGCACGGGTAGGCATGGGTAGGCATGGGTAGGCATGGGTAGGCATGGGTAGGCACGGGTAGGCATGGGTAGGCATGGGTAGGCATGGGTAGGCACGGTTAGGCATGGTTAGGAATGGGTAGGCATGGGTAGGCACGGTTAGGCATGATTAGGCATGGGTAGGCATGGGTAGGTATGTGTAGGCATGGGCAGGGATGGGCAGGCATGGGCAGGCATGAGGAGGCATGGGTAGGCATGGGAGGCATGGAGGGGCATGGACAGGTATGGAGAGGACCAGGGAGGAACACAAGGGAAGGCATGGGCAGGAATGGGTGAAGGGACAGGAAGAAGGGGAAGGCAGAGATAATGTAGGAATTGAAATGCAGATGGCAAAGCCAACGATGAAAGATCATTGATAGACGCAGGTGGTGCAGGCAGGGCGGCCCACCTGTAGTCCAGTGAGGAGGCGAGGCGGCTGATGACGGTGGCTGGCAGCTGCTGGGGGTCGCCCACGAGCACACAGCGCTGGCAGCGCAGCGTCAGGGGGGGTAGGGCCGCCATCTCACTGGCCTGCGCCGCCTCGTCAAACACACACATGTCAAACCCGTGCGCCAGGCGCGCGAATATGCTGCTCCCAGGGGTGTGAGGGGGGCGGGGGTGGCGGGGGTGAGAGAGAGAGAGGGTGTAGGGAGGAAAGAGTGTTTGTAAGCGAGGTGATGACAGGTGAAGGCAACTGTGCTGGTGAGCTTGCCTTCACGAGAGTAGCCTCCCCGTGTGCCTCACCCGCATTGCATCTGTTCGACTGAGCCCCGCGTCCTCCTCCCTTGGCCAACTATGTTTCTCACTCTTTTACTCTGCTGCTAGACAGTTGTGTAGGGTACATTACTGTACCCTACACTGAGAAATCTTCTTCTGTTTCAGCCCCGTATTATGACTGCTTCTGTGCGACAAGAAGGAAGAACTGCTGCTTTCCAAGGCACCTGCAGGGGCACGGGGGCGAGGCTCACCGGCGGCCGCTACTGCTGGCGGTGGTGAAGACCACCTCGGCCTCCTCCGCAAAGCTCGCCTCCAGCTGTGCTCTCGCTGCATCCACTGTCACCTCGCCCCGCCGCGCCCCCAACACGATGAGCAGGCGCCCCACCTCCACGGCCACCTGCTCCCTCTCCTCCACCGCCGCCTGCAAGCATGGTCATAAAGAACGAGAGGCCACAGGAGTGACATGCGTGGGGAGTGAGAAAATGAGGGAGTGTGATAGCAGCGAAGAAAGATATCCTTGTCTCGCAGTGAAGAGTTGATGAGAGGAGACATTCTTATTTGCCAACACATAACCCTTGAAACAAGGGAACTCAGGAGGAAACGTTAGGCATGCTCCCATTCAGGCACCTCGTTCCACCGGGGGACATGTGATGGCCAACACAGCAGCAGCACACTCGAAAAACAAGCGAGGACAACTGCTTGCACTCACTGCCAGTCGTTGCACTCACTGCTAGCCGCTGCACGAGGGCGTCTCTCTCCCGCTCCCGCTGCACCAACACCTCTGGATCCATCCCCACCGCACTGCCCCCCTCCCCGCTCCCCCCTCCCCCCGCCTCCACCAGCTCGCGGATCTGGCGCTGCAGCACCCTGACGTGGCATGCCAGCTGGCCCTCCTTGTGCCGGAGCGCCGCCACATGGTGGGCTGCCTCCTCCGCCGGCATCTGCAGCAGCTGCTGCGACCGCCTCTCCACCGATACCGCCTGGCCAAGGGGCGTGCATGGACGGGAGAGAAAGGAGGCGAGGGGCGAGGGCTGTAGGTGTGAGGGGTTGTAAGCCACACAGACTCCCACGCAACACCAGCCAAGTGGGCACAAGCAAAGAGAATCCCATTGGGTTGCGTGTCACAAGTCATCTTGAAGCTCTTCTCATAAGACAGCCACAGCCTCATCCTCACCCCCCTCCGCTGCCCCTCACCTGAGCAGCGGGGGTGGCGGCCTCGGCACCGACGCGTGCGACATCGGGGCGGTAGGTGCGCATCTCGCCGTCGAGGAAGCCCTTGGAGAGAACGCGCGACAGCAGCTCGTCCACGGCGGCGTTGGACGGCGCACACACCAGCATGCGCGGCTTGCGTGCCACCCGCACCTGCCGCCGCGGCGCCAGCCGATCCATGCTCTCCAGCAGATCCTCTATGCTGCCCCCTCCCGAACCTACCGCCTCCGCCGAACCTGTATTGTCCGAGCCGGCACCTGCCGAAGCTGGGTCGTCGGGTTGGAGAGTGGCGGAGGCGGCGGGGGCGAGCTTAGCGAGGAGGGAGTGGTAGTAGCGCTGGTAGTGCACGAGGTGGATGGCGTTGAGCATGCCCCACACCGTGTGCGTCTTCCCCGTCCCCGGCGGCCCCTGCACCAGCGTGAACGGCCACCCGCCCTTGTCACCCTTGCCGCCCCCCGCACCGCCCGACCCCGACCGGCTGGAGGCGGCAGTGCCGGCCGCACTGCCGGCCGCAGCGGGCGTGTGGGCGGCGGTGTGGGCGGCGGCCCAGTGGATGGCCTGCAGCTGCGGTGCGTTGAAGGAGGCCTGCAGGTGCGCACAGAAGGCGGGCGGGAAGACGGCGGAGAGGTCCGGCGGCATCTCGGTGACGTAGTCGGGGAAGAGGTGCGCGCCCGGGCGCAGCACTGCTTCCAGCATCTGAAGGGCGGACGGGGGTGGGAAGGGGGGGTTGTTGGAGGGAAGGATGAGGTGCGGGGCGGGCCGAAAAGGCTGCAAGTCAAAATGACACACCATCGGCACTACAGGAGGTGCACACACAGAAAGCACCTGAGGCTCCAGGTGCGTTATTTAACCCACCTCATCACCTCACCTCACCTCACCTCACCTCACCTCACCTCACCTCACCCCACCCCACCCCACCTGGGGCTGCAGGTGCGCCATTGAACCCACCTGCGGCTGCAGGTGCGCCATTGAACCCACCTGCGGCTGCAGGTGCGCCATTGAACCCACCTGCGGCTGCAGGTGCGCCATTGAACCCACCTGCGGCTGCAGGTGCGCCATTGAACCCACCTGCGGCTGCAGGTGCGCCATTGAACCCACCTGCGGCTGCAGGTGCGCCATTGAACCCACCTGCGGCTGCAGGTGCGCCATTGAACCCACCTGCGGCTGCAGGTGCGCCATTGAACCCACCTGCGGCTGCAGGTGCGCCATTGAACCCACCTGCGGCTGCAGGTGCGCCATTGAACCCACCTGCGGCTGCAGGTGCGCCATTGAACCCACCTGCGGCTGCAGGTGCGCCATTGAACCCACCTGCGGCTGCAGGTGCGCCACGGAGTGCAGGGAGGAGAACTCCCTCTGTGCTGTCGTCAGCGATGTCACTGGCGTGAAGGTGCACGGAAGGTTCCTGCTCTTCACCTCCTTCAGGAGAGACACAGGCTCGCTGAGAGGAGGAGGCGCAAGGGGTGTGGGGAGAGGCATGCATGGCGCAAGGGGTGTGGGGAGAGGCATGCATGGCGCAGGGGGTGTGGGGAGAGGCATGGGTGACACAAGGAAGGTGAAAAGGTATGATGGCGGAGGGCAGCACATGCGGGGGCCAGGGCTACATACTCGGGGGCCAGGGCTACATACTCGGGTGGCAGGGCTACATACTCGGGTGGCAGGGCTACATACTCGGGTGGCAGGGCTACATACTCGGGTGGCAGGGCTACATACTCGGGCGGCAGGGCTACATACTCGGGCGGCAGGGCTACATACTCGGGCGGCAGGGCTACATACTCGGGTGGCAGGGCTACATACTCGGGTGGCAGGGCTACATACTCGGGTGGCAGGGCTACATACTCGGGTGGCAGGGCTACATACTCGGGTGGCAGGGCTACATACTCGGGCGGCAGGGCTACATACTCGGGCGGCAGGGCTACATACTCGGGCGGCAGGGCTACATACTCGGGTGGCAGGGCTACATACTCGGGTGGCAGGGCTACATACTCGGGTGGCAGGGCTACATACTCGGGTGGCAGGGCTACATACTCGGGTGGCAGGGCTACATACTCGGGCGGCAGGGCTACATACTCGGGCGGCAGGGCTACATACTCGGGCGGCAGGGCTACATACTCGGGTGGCAGGGCTACATACTCGGGTGGCAGGGCTACATACTCGGGTGGCAGGGCTACATACTCGGGTGGCAGGGCTACATACTCGGGTGGCAGGGCTACATACTCGGGTGGCAGGGCTACATACTCGGGTGGCAGGGCTACATACTCGGGTGGCAGGGCTACATACTCGGGTGGCAGGGCTACATACTCGGGTGGCAGGGCTACATACTCGGGTGGCAGGGCTACATACTCGGGTGGCAGGGCTACATACTCGGGTGGCAGGGCTACATACTCGGGTGGCAGGGCTACATACTCGGGTGGCAGGGCTACATACTCGGGTGGCAGGGCTACATACTCGGGTGGCAGGGCTACATACTCGGGTGGCAGGGCTACATACTCGGGTGGCAGGGCTACATACTCGGGTGGCAGGGCTACATACTCGGGTGGCAGGGCTACATACTCGGGTGGCAGGGCTACATACTCGGGTGGCAGGGCTACATACTCGGGTGGCAGGGCTACATACTCGGGTGGCAGGGCTACATACTCGGGTGGCAGGGCTACATACTCGGGTGGCAGGGCTACATACTCGGGTGGCAGGGCTACATACTCGGGTGGCAGGGCTACATACTCGGGTGGCAGGGCTACATACTCGGGTGGCAGGGCTACATACTCGGGTGGCAGGGCTACATACTCGGGTGGCAGGGCTACATACTCGGGTGGCAGGGCTACATACTCGGGCGGCAGGGCTACATACTCGGGCGGCAGGGCGGACTCGTGGAAGGTGAAAATGATGGTGGCCCGAGCGGCACCGCGGTCGTCCTGCATGGGCTCGTAGCAGCGCCGCCCGATGCCAGCTATGCGCAGCAGCTGCTGGGGTGGCTGTGTTTGGTCTGCACAGAGGCGTGAACGGCAGGCAGAGTGGAGAGGACGAAGGCTTGTGAGCGGAGCAGAGAGGAAGGTAAGAGATTCACGTCAAGAACAACAACGAGAGGGCGCTTAATTCGGTTTGCTCATCTCCATGAACATGTGCATGGGCATGGGCATGGGCATGGGCATAGGCATGTGCATGGGCCTGGGACTGGGCATGGGCATGGGCATGGGCATGAGAGTATGGGCATGGGAGCATGGGCATGGGAGTATGGGCATGGGCATGAGCCATCCTCACTCCCACCTTCATCTCTGCCCGCTGGGCGTGCAGTGGACAGCACAGCCACATCGCCATCCTTCCACTCGCCCTCCTTCCACCCCGCCCGCCGCCCCCCCTGCTGCTGCTGCTCGGCGAGTGGCTGTAGCAGCATCTCGTGCCAGCCTGGGGTGGGGAGGGCGTGCGTGGGTGGTGGCGCGGCAACGTGTATTTTGAGCGGCTAAGGTGGGAGGGAAGATGGTTCACGTGGTGGGAGGTGGTGAGGGCAGCAAAGCGAACTGAGAGGCGAAAGGAAAGAGGCAAGAGCAGGCGAGGGTGGAGAGGTAGGGGTGGTGCGTGCGTGCAAGGCGAGGCGAGTGGAGCAGTAGGTAGGTGGGGGGGATGTGGGGCTTCAGTCACCTCGGTGGGTGGGCTCACCTCGGTGGGTGGGCTCACCTCGGTGGGTGGGCTCACCTCGGTGGGTGGGCTCACCTCGGTGGGTGGGCTCACCTCGGTGGGTGGGCTCACCTCGGTGGGTGGGCTCACCTCGGTGGGTGGGCTCACCTCGGTGGGTGGGCTCCAGCGACGCCACGCGCACTGCCACGCCCGCGCTGCTTCCCCCCGTGCGCCCGCCACCCCCCTCGCCGCCGTCCGCCTCCTCCCAGCTGCTCGCCACCTGGGCGCGCGCCTCCTCAAACAGCAGCGGCTCAAACGCCCCCACGTACTCCTCCACCGATCCAAACCGCTCTGGTAGCTTCGGCGGAGGCGTGGCGGACTGTGCAGCTTCAGCGTCCGCCGCCCCTGCTGCTGCTGACGTGGCGCCAGCTGTCCCCCCCGCGCCCCACAGCCTGTAGCTCGTCGCCTCTCGCTGCAGCCGCTCCAGCGACGCGTCGCCCGCCCACCCCCTTGCTCCCGCGCTGCCCCCTCCCATCCCGGAACCCACCCGCGCGCCCGCTAACCCCGCTCTCCGCGCGTCCTCTCTCGCCCCCTTCCTTCCGCCTACCCCTCTTCCGCCACCCCTCCCCCCCTCGCCCGCTGGCCCGCTCCTCCCGCGCGTCTCCGCGTTCAGCGCCGCCTGTCGCGGCCATTCCCCGCGCTCCAACCCACCCGTTTCCCCCGTGAGGCCTCCCTCCGCGGAGACTTCCGCGACTGGCGAAGAGCTTAGATTCGCATTCCCCTCGACTCCACCCGCACGGCCGAGAGAACGGCCCGCGGAAGCCCCTCCGCGGCCGATTCCGCCACTGCCGGCTTCCCCCGTGCGACTGGCCTGGCGGAGCGACTCGCCCACCTCCAGCAGCACCGTCTTCCGCGAGGGCTCCGCGCGATAGCGCTTCCCCGCCGACATGGCGGGCGAGACGGATGGCTGGCTTGGTGGGCGGAGGTGAGCTAGTCGAGGTAGATCCGCGCCTAGTAGATGTTGGGAGGAGAAGTAGTCGAAAGCAGCAAGAATGCGACAAACAGAAACGTACTGACAGCGCGTATTCTTATACGGGAGGGTGTTTTAACAGGTTACGACCTTAATATAACCTTAATCGACCTTAATCAAGACATGCAGGTCCAAATATAAAATTCATGTTTCTTAAGTAAAAAAATATAAAAAACAGAAAAATACGTACTATTTGGGTAAAATAATTAAATAATGTTTGCGTTCTGTGGCAGTGGATGTTATGATGTTATAACTGGAGGATCGTAGTGGATAGGATAAAGTTGCCAAGTATAAGGAAGAGAACTGTGAAGTCTCTGTAATGACCTTGTTAAGAAATTGAAAGAGAACAAGATGATTATAGGATAGAAGTACAAGGGTATAAATAGCATTCCTAGCTAGCCATGTACTCTGAGGGGTACAATCCCTTATTAACTGAATTGCATTGCTACAGTAACCCACGACTATTGCCATTCTAGACAGTTACCATGTTGCACTTCGCAACTGCCTTGTGCGGTTACTGGGCAGTCAAGGGTCACGACCGTTGACTGTCTTCGACTGTTGACCTTCGGGTGACCCTCGACCTTCCGCGTGCTCTATATGAGCTCATGCGGTACTTGTACAAGCATCTGCTTCTCTATGAGGAGACGCGTCAGTGGAGTGCCTTCGGGAATGCTTATAATAACCTTTCGGTTATTCCAACACTCCCCTTCATTCCTGAAGGTGGGCCACGTGGGACTTCTTGGTGATCCCGCAAAGGTTGGCGCAGTGCTGGAACTGTTGACGTGGCAGTTTCTTTGTCAGGAGGTCGGCTGCCATGTCACCAGTTGGGCAGTACGTGAGCTTGACCTTGCCCTTGTCGATTTCGTCCTTGACGAAGAAGTAGCGAAGGGCGATGTGTTTCGTGCGGTTCACGAAGCCGGGCTTGTTTGCGATCTTGATCGCGCTCTGGTTGTCGCAGAGTAACGTGAAGTGCCCGTTCATCGTCACTTTCGCTTCCTGCAGGAGCTCCATCAGGTACAATCCTTCGCGAACAGCTGCGCTGGCGGCGATGCATTTTTCTTCGGCTGACGAAAGGGCGATGAGTTCCTGCTTCTGAGAGTTCCATGAGATGAGCCCAGCAGGTTGAAGTTGAAAAATGAATCCTGTGCCGGAGCGTCTGTTGTCAACATCTCCCGCATGGTCAGCGTCTACGTAGCCGTGCAGCTGCAGGGTAGCCGTTAAGTTAGCTTCGTAGGTGAGGCCGACGTCGGGAGTAGAGATGAAGTATTTAAGTGCTCGGCGTAGATCCCGCAGATTCCCGCAGCTTCGTATGTACTGAGCGAGCTGGCTTGCGACGTAGGAGAGGTCGGCCCGGCACGTGACGGCGGCGAACAAAAGGCACCCGAGCTGCTGCTGATAGAGCCGATGATCCTCGAGAGAGAGGGGCGTGGTGTCCGGTTCGTGGTTAGTAGGAGGAGTGCGAAAGGGGGTGGTGAGGTTGATAGGTGCGATGCCGAATTTCTTCGAGAGCGTTTCGGCATATTTGGCGGCGGAGAGGTGAATGGAGGAAGCAGACTAAGTGATGTCGAGACCCAGGAATTGAGTGACGTCGTGGTTGACCGTGACCTCCAGCTGCTCCTTGATATCTGCTTCAAACTGGTCCAGGAGCTCCGTGTCGTCGCCGGTGTAGAGGAGGTCGTCGACGTAGGCAACGAGGAGGATAAATTTGCCGCGCGACTCCTTCCTGTACATGCCGAGGTCGTGTGGCAGCTGTTGGAAGCCGAGCTTCGTGAGCACGGTGTGCAGGTACTGTTGCCACAGGCGAGGTGCTTGCTTAATCCCGTAGAGGGATTTCTGGAGCAGGCAGACGGTGCCGTCGTTCTCTTCGAAGGCGTGCGGCTGCTCGACGAAGATGATTGCGTCGACCGGAGCGTACAAGAATGCACTGCCGACGTCGATTTGACGGAGTGGGCGCTGTTTGACGGCTGCGATGCAGATGAGGATTCGCACTGAGGTGTGTCGTCCGACTGGTGCGTAGGTGAGATCGAAATCCACCATGTGAGTTTGCTCGAAGCCGCGCACCACCCATCGCGCTTTGTATTTGTCGATGGAGCCGTCCGCTAGTGTCTTGATGCGGAACACCCATTTCCCGCTGAGAATTTTTCTCCCCTTCGCAGATGTCCGGGGAACGAGCTTCCAGGTGCCGCGGCTTTTGAGCGAAGCGAATTCCTTGGCCATGGCTGCCTTCCACTTCTCACTGTCGGGGCCGGAGAGAGCTTGGCGAACGGTGGTGGGTTCCTTGGGGGAGGTGTGGCGAACAGCGACAGCGAGCCCAAGGATGCGGAGACCAGTTTCGTTGGTCTTTTCGTAGTGCAGGCGATCGTAGTCGTGGAAGCTGGTTACTTCGACCACGTCGTCGTCACTTTCGTTGCCAGGGCGGATGGAGTCCTGCGAGGTGTTTGGGTGTGGTAACGCGGCGTCTGGTGACTGGCGGGCGGCGCTGTTGAAGTTATGGGCTTCGCGAGTTGTATCATCGGGATCGGGTTGGTGTAGGGGAATGAAGGTTGGAGTCTGAAATGGGCTTGTAAGGGGGATGTTGGGTGCGCTGTCAAACTGGGTAACATTTGCTGCATCCACATCTTCCGCCAGGTCAGCTTCATCGTGTGGAGTTGCGAAGCTGCGGTGTCCCTCAAAAACCCTTTCCGGTTCCCTGTCAGCTTCGCGGTGTTCGTTGAACAGTGGCAGAGTCAGCTTCTCGTAGAAGATGCAGTCACGTGATTTCGTCACTTCGTGTGTCGCGTAGTCCAGCACAATCCACGCCTTGAATTCCTTTTCGATCCCGAGGTGGATGCCCCAGCGAGCCCGGTCAGCAAACTTTCCAATCCTTGCTGTGTGTGGCCTGTACTGTACCATGCAGCCAAACACCCGAAGCAGGCGCGTGTCTGCCTTTCTGCCCGTCCACGCCTTGTAGGGGGAGTTGTTGTTCTCGAGGCTTCGGGATGACAGCAAGTTGTGCAGCCGGACTGCATGGTTCATGGCGAACGGCCAGTAACGAGTTGGGATGGCCGACTGCTTCATCAGGGCCCTCATCCTGGTGGCGAGACTCCTGTTTGTCCGTTCTGCTACTCCTTGCTGCTCGTGAGCGTAGGGCAGGGATACCAGGTGTTCAATCCCTTTCTACCTGAAGAGCTCCTTGAACTCGTCTGAGAAGAACTCCAGAGCTCCGTCCGTCTGCCGGCTCTTCAGTTTAAGCCCCGATTGTCGTTCAGCCCGCTTCATCCACGCGATGAAGCATTCGAAGGCGAGTGACCTGCTGTCAGTGTTAATAGCCCAGACGTGGCGAGTGCTTGCGTCGATGAAGGTCAGCGTGTAGTATTCGCCATCGAGCCCTTCCTCCGTTAAGCACATAAAGTCGCTGTAGACCTTCTCGAGCGGTTTGTAGCGTTCGTAGCCGGGCGGTAAGTCGGGGAAGGGCTTGTGGGCGAGCGACGCGGCAGGACACACTTCGCAGGGCGGGTCTTCTGAGTCTGCGGTGAGGGAACCTCCGCGGGGAAGGAGTAGTGCTCCGTCGTCGAGGACGCCAGCCCGCAGAGAGTTCTTGAGTGTTATGTGAGAGGGGTGCCCGAGCCGTTGATGCCAAATTTCTGGTTCCGCACGATAGCCGACTGTTTTCTGATAATATTTATGTCTTGCTGCTTCGTCGTTTGCCTCCCCTTCAGGTCCTGCATCGGCGGCGTCGTCGGCGTCGGCGGCGAACGCGTGGATTGACTTCCGTTCCAGAAGCGCGTGTGGAATTCCGATGATGTCGTCGGTGTCGCCGGCGTCGACTTGATCTCCAGTTACAAGCAGGCACTGGTTGGGCCAGTCGCGGACGGGGAGTCCCTTCATGGGAATGCGAAAATAACTGTACTCGGCTCCGATGACCTCGATTTCTTGTGGTCCTTGTTCTGGCGGCTCTGGCTCCTCGATAGGTTGAGGTAGTTCTGCTGTTACTCCGAAGAATTCGTATGTTTCTTCTTTCTCTGACTCTTCTTGCATTGGTTCTGGTGTGTCAGGAGCGTACTGGTCCGGAAGAGGAGGTCCGCCCCAGCTGGTGCCGCGTGTTGCCCAATAGGGGTCCATCGCTACGGTTTCCGCTGCGGGAAGTCCCGGAGCTTCGGGATAGGCAGGGGCAGCTTGCCCCCATCCTCCTTCGCTTGTCGAAGTTCCCCAGCCGCCTTCGGTTCCTCCGGTTCCCCAGCCTCCAGTTCCCCAGTCGCCTCTGGTGGCAGCGCCAGCACCTGTTGGAGCAGTGGCGGTGCCTTCGGATGCTGAGATAGTGTCCTGTCCTTCTGCCGCTGCTTCTTCTGGCGTCAGGACTTCTCCCAAGGGACCGAGTGCAGGGCCGGGACGGCCTGATCGAGTTCCAGTCTTCTCACTTTCTTCAGCGACTAGTTCCGCAGATGCTGACGCGCCGCTGTCTTCTTCCATTGATGCAGGTCCAGTCTCAGCTGGGTTGGAGGTTGAGGCAGTCGGAACGGTGCGCAGTCGTAGAAGGCCGTCCGAGGCGGGACGCTCGAGATCCATTTCCGTGGGATGCGACCAAGTCGGTGTTTCTGAAGTGGTCGTCTTCAGCAGTAAGGTGCGGTGAGAATCTCCAGTGGTGCCTTGGGCTGAGAACTGTAGCACAAAGACCCCGTCCTTGCCGATGTAAGTGTTGCCGTAGAAGAGTTCGAAGGTCTTGTCTTTTCGATTGCTTCGAATGTCGACTCCGCACCGCATGAGCTGTGCCGAGGAAAGCAGATTGTACCGCAGATCTGGAGCGACGAGCACATCGCAATGTGAATCGTGAATCGTGTGTCGTCAGCTTCAAGGAAGATCTCACCGATGTCATATGCCTTGAGTGTGCCGTTGTTTGCTACTGTGATCTCGCAGGGTCGACGCATGCGCTTGGAGTTGCT